GCTGCTGTCTCTGATTGGCAGCTTGTATCAAGAGAGAGATTAAGAGGCCTGAGCTGAGATAAAACTCAGAGCCAAGACAGAGATCTGGGACAACGTACCCAACAGCATGACAGATCAGCAAGTTGGGACAGAAGAAGACAGCTGGGAGAGCGCGTGGGTCTCGGAGACAGATTGGAAAGCCTGGATAGAGTGAGATGCGTCAGGGCCAGGGGACATGAGACAAATATGTGCTTTGAAAATGTTCTATAATTAGCTCTAAGTAACAAGTTTCACAGTTTATAGAGTGCTGTACTGTACCAAACGTGTTATATTGGAGCCAGTTCAGCTCCAAGGAGATCCCACTAAGCTGTCTTCTCCGCTCAACCACCCCCCCCAGAAGGATAGTCATTAGTTGGCCATTTGACATCTGACAAGCGTGGGGTTTGAACCTCACTAGATGGATGGTAGGTACAAAAACACCCTGCAACACAGCTCTGCACAAAATGCGCGAGAGCATTGCCACCACCTTCCTGCCCACGGCTTGGACACGCATCCCTTCTCATTGAGCGTTGGGTCCACCAGTTGTTGGTGCGGAGCTTAAGCAGCAACCAGTCAAGGTGGGTCCCGAGCACTGGATGTAGAAACGTGGTTCACGAACTGACTCCAGGCAACACCTTCCAGCAGCTGTCGCCCCAAGCCTCAGTTTTCTCTTCAGCTATCTGGGACACACATTTGCCTTCAGCTTGGTGGGAGGACTTTTACAGGACAGCTCTCTCTCTACACTACTACCTGCTGCCTCCGCTCGACTGGCTCCGGCCTCTGCCTTGTCCCTCGAACTCTCCGTCGCACCATCAGCGGCCGTGCTTTCAACCACTATGCCTTGAAGCTATGGAACTCTCTCCCTCAAACTTTCGCCTTGCCCCCTCCCCATTTTCAGGTAGCACTTGAAGACCTTCCTCTTCGACCATGCCTACGGTCACCTCCCCAGCTCGGCATCGGGCTTCACCACTGTTAAGTGCTCCGAAACGCCATCTGGCGTGAAGGGCGCTATATAGATGCAAGTTGTTGGTGTTGCTTAGCTCGAAGTTGGTGTTGGTCAGAGCACTTCATCGGGATTAAATTGTGTGGTTGAAAGCTTTGAAATTGTGCTCAATTACCTTCAAGACTCAAGAGTATTCAGAATTTTACTTGTATCTTATTCTCTGCGCATGATCAAGTGAGTTAGATGGGAGCAAATTGTACAGTGTCTGGGGAGAGCTGATCTTATTGGCTAATTGGCTTTTCTCTTTCCACACTTATTTGGAATTCAAGCTCTTGAAATGCTTGTTCTGTGCCAGCTTTAAACATTATAATGCTTATACAACGATAGTTCAGAAAAGAGGTTTTGCATATATGGATGAGTGGCTAAAATAGATATTTTCCACTAAGCATTTAAATACTCGAGGAGACGGAAAAAAAGTTTCTACATAAAGTTTGCAGAATGGAATGATGATTAACCATTCCTTTTCTCCCTCTCATCACTTTAAAAGGAGAAACTTTTTGAGGCATAATGGAATAATTAAATTGCTAAATGGTACAGATCCGTTGTAATGTAAGTGGAGTTTATTGCTTAATATGTTGGGTTTCTCTTCAAAAATCACCATCCCTAGATCTGGATTTGTATTTATCATCCCACATTTCATTGGTACTTTTAGATAAAATGACTATTCAGCACTTATGAACTTTCAGGTGAGCTGGTGTAAATTTACACAGATTCACTGCTTTATCTCTAGATTGCAACAATTTCCATTGAAGTCTGACTTCCATAGAAATCTGAATTTAAAAATCAGTCCAGATAATAATAATCCTTGCATTTGATATAGCGCCGTATCACATCGTTGAGACGTCTCAAAGTGCTTCACAGATTATATTGCAAGGTGAATCAGCAGTGTATTTTTGGGGCAAAACCCAGCAGCCAATTGTCCCACAAACTATCGTGAATTAAATGACCGAATTCAAATGAAGTGATTCAGCTGCGATAGAACAAATATAACAAACTTTTAACTAGTTTGTGGAAGTAAGAAGTCTAGAAAATTACATTTTTCTACCATTGGTGGGACAAAAACTTTCTTTGTGCATAGGAACTTAGGAACAGAAGTAGGCCAGCCCCTTGAGCCTGCTCCACCATTCTATTAGATCATGGCTGATCTGTACCTCCACTCAAATTACCCACCTATGCTCCATATCCCTTGATACCCGTACCTAACAAAAATCTATCTATCTCAGTCCTAAAAATTTGAATGGATCCAGCATCCACAGCCTTTTGAGGAAGAGTTCCAAATTTACTACTTACTAATGTACCACTGTCATTGATGCCCCTCATTGTCACTCGTATCAGAAAAGCAGCGGTCTGTCATGTATACAACAGCTTGCTTTTCTATAGCACCCTTCACGCGGGGTAGCGTCCCGGAGTGTAGACAATAATGCTTGCTAACGGTTGGAATTAGCTAATAAAGCTTGGTATAAATTTATATTTCTAAAGGTACTGCTCAAATTTTTTTTTAAAAAGACACATTCGTTTGTCGTTTAAGCTGAGGAATGACATTTGAAATCCTTTTTCGGTTTATAGTTCTGGAAATTAATATTTGCATTTTTGAGTTTAGGGAGAATCGGTACTGATCATCTTTGCATTTGATTTAATTCTTGTAGTATCAACCTCTCAAAGCACCTCAAAGATTTTTCTGTAACATGTAGTTTCTGGCTGTGTATTTGAGGCTAACACGGCAGACAGTGTGCACACTGAAGTGTTTCATGAACAGTCATGAAGTCAATTTATTCCGTTTCTTAAGCCTCGCAACTCTCTGAGCTGGTAAATCACCCTTCAGTTGTAGTTATGTTGCAGCTGGCGAATGTTGAAATATCTGAGTTTCACTTCTGATGTATTGGTGTTCTATAATAATCACAACATGAGCAGGTCAGTGTCATTGATCTGAATTTGAAACCTAATAATGTAGCTTTGTGGCTGAGCTTTTCATTAGTACTTACTAAGAATCAACAGAATATAAAACAATTTTCTTCTTTGCCTGTTTTTTCCTTGGATTGTACATTTTGCCATAATCTGTTTTATAGTAATAAAACAACAAGGTCTGTCTGCGCTTCAAGAAAGATCTCAATAACCGATTGACGTAGAGACATGATTTATACCTCACTGTAAAGGTTGAATCTGAGAGTGACATAGGCATATTTGTTTTCAGGTATCTCCTTTCGTGAGTTATTTTCAGTTTAGGGTTTTCGCTGCAGTTACACCTGGTGGCTGCTGAGTCAAAGTGCTGCTGTGGCATCATACGTCAGAGAACCTATGTATATATGCACACACTGTAGTTATACCTGATGGCCATGCCAGCTGACCATGGCACTGTAGCATTGTGCGTCACAGAGCAATCACGTAGCCAAGCGGCGGGAACAAAATAAAGAACACAGACGAAGCCAAGCCGCGGCAATAACAACAAAATGACATTTTTAAAGCGCCGAGTCCTCCCAAAAGGAGTCCTCCCACAGGAGTCCTCCCAGATGAGTATAAATAAAGATAAAATGTCTGTCTGTGTGTCAATCTACATTCCACATTGGCTCCTTTGATTGCAAGTGTAGCTGCAACAGGTACACCTAGTTAACTATAATTTGAATACAGCATTGCATGATATCTGTTATTATACAGCCAGAGAATTTTTTAAAAATCTTGTCTGTTCCCCCTGAAGACATTCCGACTTTATTTTTTATTTTATTGTAGTAATATTCCACAATTGTCTTCCAGTACTTTGCCCAAGTGATCATTTATGTGTGAAGCTGGATAATGAACTCGAGGTGGTTTTCGCAGCCAAGCTTTGGTTCCATCTGCATTTGGCATTGGTGCATATTTTAGGTAGTGGTCGCTGGATAGGGAATTGGTGCTGAAATCCTCTTTTAAATTTAGGATTCTAAGATTAAGAGATTTAAACTCATCGGCATTATTCGCTGAGTAAACTCGGCTGGCTGAGTAGCCACTCTATAAAACATTAAAATGATTGATGATACCGTCTTTCAGGTCGGGATGACTTCTCAAAACACTTCACAAAATGTACTGTGAAGTGCAATGGCTTTATTTTGCAGGCGATCACAGCAGCCAATTTGTGCACAGTGTAATGTCAAGCTTAAGTGATCCAGAGGCAAGAGTTCTACAAACTAATAATACTCTCCTTTCTTGTCTCTAATATGGAGTAGTGGAGTGTGTTTTATTTCACTCCACTTGAAGCATGTTCTTTCCTGAAGCACCTTACAAAAATAGTTGGGATTAATCCCTTCTATACATGTCTGTAGACAAGCTATTGTTTAGAGCTTAATGACACGAACATCTGCCTAATTTTGTTGGTTTCCATTTTCTTGTTGCTATTTCATGAGTCCTGCTGTAGTATCAGCGTTCACATTCCTGCCTATGTTTTTTATTCTGGGTTGTGAGATTAGATTTAATACATTAGAATTCCATGCTAATAGTAAAAAAGGCCCTTTTGAATCAAGTGAATAATAATCCCTTTATTATTTTATTATTTGGTTTTGGAGGGATTATTCTTTTGAATAATAATCCCTCCAAAACCAAAAACAATAATAAATTGGTCATTTTCATCTACGACTGTTTGTGGGACATTGCTGTGCGCAATTGGCTGCCGCGTTCGCCCACAAAAAATATACAGTCAATTCACTTTACAGTGTGTTCTGTGAAACGCTTTGGGACGTCCTCCCGACGTGAAAAGCGCTATATCAAATGCAAGGATTATTATTATTAAGTGTAGGTATCTATAATTTTCCTAAACGCTCCTTCCAGCAAAAGAGGATGTTGGGAGTTATCAAATCTGAAATATATGATAAATGACTACAGTAGTCATCTCTTATATGGGAAGTAGTTAACAATGGGGCCTACAAACCAATGTAACCTCATGATTATCACCTGTGAAATCTTTCATCTGTATTTAGACTAATAATACTGTGTTAATGCTTACTTGTAATTACAGTGAACAGGAAGAAGCTCTAGCAGAAAACCACACAGCAAGCCGAATGTGAGTCATCTATAAAGTTTGATCACCCATTTCTAAGATTGTTTATAAACTATTTCCATGCAGTGACAGTTGGAGAGTTTGCACTGTTAGCCTCTGTCAAGCGCTCTGAAACACTACACGGGTGAGGGGTGCTATATAAATGCAAGTTGTTGTTGTTGGCCGGAACACTGGAGCTGCTCTCCTATTTTTTTGTGATTTAATGCTATAAAATGTATAGCACCATCAAAGGCCTCAATTTAATCTTATTCAAACCCTGGCTCCAAAAACCCCTTTTTCACTGCCCTTGATTGAGTTGGCTCCATTTGGTGCCTTGTTTGCCTCCCATGTGTGCCTTGAACATACAAGTTGGAAAAAATAGAAATTTGTTATTACAATCTTTCCTTGTTATGCTTGCACCAGATGTTCTTCCCCACCCTTATCTATAAATGTCCAAGTTTATTTGTGTGGTGTCTCTGTGCACAGCAAGGATTTGCGGTTTGCTCTTAAAATGCTTTCAGAAAGTCGCTAGGGTTTAAACATTTCTTTTTTTTAAAAAAAGTTTTGTTTAAACTCGAGATTTGTTTCAACTGCTATACCCCAAGACTCTGAAACTCTCTGCCTCAATTACTCCACCTTACCCCCTCCTTGCCAGTCTTGAAGATGTTCCTCTTCAACCATAATAATAATAATAATAATAATCCTTGCATTTGATATAGCGCTTTTCACGTCGGGAGGACGTCCCAAAGCGCTTCACAGAACACACTGTAAAGTGAATTGACTGTATATTTGTGGGCGAACGCGGCAGCCAATTGTGCACAGCAATGTCCCACAAACAGTCGTAGATTGAAAATGACCAATTTATTATTGTTTTTGGTTTTGGAGGGATTATTATTAGGCTCTGTGTGGAGTAAGGAAACTTGCCCAAGGTTTCGCCCTCTGCCTGGAATTGAACTCAGGTCTCTCGCTTGCAAAGCGAGTGCTCTAACCACTGAGCTACAGGACTCCAATGGTCAGTGCCTCTCTCTGCCTGGCTCTGCGTCAAGCTATGCCAATGTTAAGTACTCTGAGATGCTGCCCAGCATGAGGGGTGCTATATCAGTGCAATTGTTTAATTATGGACGCTGTTCCTTCAGCACGCATTCCTACACCAGCCAACCAAGGTCTTAATTTTGGTCAATTTAGCATCGGTCACTGCAAGCAATTACCTTTTTGGTCATGCAGTTTCCTACACAGCAAGTTTTTGCAAACTTCAGCTAAAGGATTTGTCACTGTTGTCGCATTTAATAGCAAAAAGCATTCTGTTGGCGCATATTGACAAAAGATTTACAGAGGTTTACAAAGAGGGATCAGCACAGAAATGGTACCTGCCCGTCAGTCAGTTTGTGCGTGTATTTATACGCCTCATGAGTCTTCACCCATTTTTTTCTCCTTATATCCTTCTTCCACCACTTCAGGCAGCGAGTTTCACAATCTCACTACCTTCTGCGTGAAGTAGCTCGCTTTTAGATCCTCTAGTCGCTATCCTATACTTGTGTCCCCTGGACAGACTCCTCAACCAGTGAAGGAAACCTATTTGATAAGCTAACCTTATCAAACCCTTTTATAACTTTAATTACCTTTATTCGGTCCCCTCTTAAATGTCTCTTCAATTTATCCAAGTGACCCAAGCTCAAGATCACTTTTCCGTAAAGACTTGCTGTTCGATTCAGTGTCAGAAAGGAAATCCAGTCTGTTCGATCACTGCCAAGAGTGCTCCTTAGACTGATCAAACAGTGTTCCAAGTTCCAAACCAACCAAGGTCCAATTTGGTCTTTCAACTTATTTTACACATTTAATGGATTTTATGGCACAAACTGGCTCTTTGTAGAATCCTGCAATTCACACTTCATCTAGATAGATGATATTTCTTGTCTTTGTCCTACAACAGTAAATACAGTATATAATTTAAAGGAGATATTTAGACAAAATGCTTCAGTAATGGGCTGCTTGTTTGTATTTTACCATGTGGCTTTTGTGACTAACGGAAACTAGTGCAATCTGTATGTAGTTTTGCTTTGCGGATGGGCAGATAAATACATTAATACATAAATTAATTCATAATTTGGTGTTATTAGTGGTTATTGTTTTATTATTGCAGTTATGTTTTAACACCAAAACCTCCTCAGTTTCAGTGAAGTTATTTTGCTTAGTATGTCCCCATTCAATGGACATTAATAGTGGGGATTGAAACTATTTGTTTCACTGCTGGCAATTCCTAGCTGCATCCTGAATTCCCAGGTCAACTTTAAGATGACTCAGATGCAGATTAATGCCTAGTTTATGCTGGGCTTTCTGCACTGAAGCACCATTTATACATGGTATAAATTTAGTCTGAGGCCACTGAGCCACATTGAGACACTGCTGTCAATGCATCAATTTGTACCTCTGCAGCATAAATGCAGACAGGCCCAATTGATTTGACCGCTGCTCCACTCCGACTTTAATATTAAAAGCAACCTATTGGCAGTCAGTTTGAGACGTTTTCCCCATGCAGAACTCTCCCTGGTGAGAAGTTAATATCAGGCTTTCTGCTCAGAGTTTCTTAGGTGAGTCACTTGTAGTGGTCTAGGCTGGTCATAAATCTTTTCTGTTGTACTGTATTCCACAGTGTGACTTAACCTAAATTTCTAAATGCAATCCTTATTAAATGGGGCACTTGACATTTCTTTTTACTCCTGCAAAGTCCCACAAACAACTGTGAAGTGAATGACCGAATTGATTTGGGGAGGACACCAGGAGAAACCTTCTTCCCTGTTCCAGTGGTGGCATAGGATCTTAATGTACCCTGAACAAATAGATGGGACCTTGGTTTAACATCTCATTCAAGGTGCATGTTTGTGGCATTTTATCAAAGTGTACAATATGTGAAACTTAGATATGAATTTTTTGAGGGGGTGTTTTTACTGTACTATTATTGGACCTTGCCACAAATTCACTGTATTTAAATTTGGGGAACAAGATGTTTTATTAAGGTTCTGCTAATGGTGAGACTTTGTCAGATGGAAATGCCAATGCATGGACTAGGCATCCTATAGCCATCTGTTAGTACACATTGTTTAAGAAATGATCCCTGCTGGTGTGTTCCTCTGCAATGTTTCATTTAAGAGCACTATGCCAACAACAAATGGTCCTGAATCATTTGTTCAACCCTGTTAACGATTATTTGCACACACATCTACATATTGTAGGTGTGAACTATAACAAATTGCCATATTGTGGTTAATTTCTTGCTCCAAAGATCTAGTAGAAAACATTTTAAAGTAGTGGATTGTTTCTAATTTGCCCCTTAATTATCACTGCTGTTAAGAGCTTTTTTTTATATATTTACCTTTGGCAACCTGTTGCTGCGCAAGTCATTTAAATGAAACACTGCTGTGCTAATGCTGCACTGAGCTTGGTATCTGAAGGCTGTACTAATCCCTTTGCCTACCATTTTGAATGTTTGCCACAGGAAGCGAGCAGCTGCAAAGCACCTAATAGAACGCTACTACCACCAGTTAACTGAGGGCTGTGGAAATGAGGCCTGCACGAATGACTTTTGTGCTTCCTGCCCAAATTTCCACCGTATGGATAACAATGCCGCGGGCATAAAGGCCCTTGAGCTTTTTAAGATTAATGCAAAACTCTGTGATCCTCATCCTTCCAAGAAAGGAACAAGCACTGCCTACAAAGAAAACAGCACGAAAAGTTCCCTCAACAGCAACTGTCGCACAAACACGAAGATGAATAAGAGGGAAACGCAAAGTCAAAGAGATGATTTTAAAGGTGAATATTAAAAGTTCTTTTGCTTACCAAATACTATGTAGTTGATTCCTCTAAGTAAATATCTAAGTGGCTAGGGAGAGCAACTTTGGGACCAAGTATTAAGGGTGCAAAGTATAACAATCAATTAGTAATGAATTTAAGTCAAGTTCTACGTGTGAACTTGACTTGGTTCAATTGTTACATCTGTACCTGTTGCTGAACAGAAAAAAATAATGCAATGTGGTCTATTCTGGTTTTGTGTCCTGATTGCCACAATGAATATTCTTGGGTTTTCTTTTGGAATGACGTGCTGCCGATAGTTTTATTTTATTCAATTTTCCCACCATTGTTCCAATACAAGACAGCACTTGGGCAGGCGAAAGGACAAGAGGGACTTTAAGTCACTAATTCCCCCCGCCCCCCCCCACCCACCCCACCCCGAAACTCTGGAACACCCTCCCTCAATCCCTCCGCCTTGCCCCCTCTTCCCCATCTTCAGATCGCGGCTGAAGACCTTCCTCTTCGACTGTGCTAAAGGTCACCTCCCCCGGCTTTGCGACGTGCACTACCACTGTCAGGCGCTCTTGCGTGACGGGCATTATTTAAGTCACTATATAAATACAAGTTGTTGCTGTTGTTGCAGACGGCTGGCCCGTGAGCACTAACGTTTGACCTGAACTTAGTCTTTACTTTTGAACCAAATCCTGCCTATAATAATGGGTTTATTTGTGTCAAAGACAAATCTTTAATGTATGCATATTCTGATATCTAAGATGTAATTTCGAATCAGTATTTTTAGATTTCTCGAGTGTTTTTTTTCCCCCCTCGATTCCTTTTCCTAACATGTTGGAAAGCGAGATGTTTTATCAACGATTCTGCTAATGGTTAGACCATTAAATTTGTTCAGAACATTAACTTTGCAGCTACAAGCTCTATAAAGTCACTTACCAATTCAGCAAGTTTTGTTTTTAAGCAGACTTTTCATCAGTCTTGTCTCTAGCCTTAGCCATCACTGCGAAATGTAATCTTGTTGTTGTTTGATTTTGTTTTTGGAATGGGAGCAACTTTGAAGTTGCCAATATTTGTTCACATTTAAACAGAATCGTAAGTTCATTACAATTTTACCCTATTAATGTTTGATTTTGTTTTACCTCCTTTGAATTAAGCCACATAAAACTAGCTCCAAATCCCACAAAAAAATGAATATTCCCGGTTAAATTGGGAGAAAAATTGACTCTGACAAATGATAGCAGGTTTTGTGCCAAAAAATACTGCATTAAATACTACAGTTTTTAAAAAGAACAACTTTTCATTTAAGTTCTGAATTTTGACTGCTGTAACAACTTCTTAAAAGAGTCCTGAATTTGGGTGCTTATCCTTAGCTTTAAATGGCATTATGGCTAACATAGAGTACGATAGTGAACTGTTATGGTGTCAGTGACTGAGGCACATAGAGATAAGATAGCACCAGAAAGGCAAACAGAGAGTTCAGGAGAATATTTTTCACTCAGAGGTGGATTGCCCTGCCAACTAAAATGGTAAAGAGAGAGAGTCCATTGTGGGTTTCAAGAGGGGAGCAGGGCAGACTTGATCGGCCGAAATGACCTCCTCCTGCGCTGAACATTTCTATGATTGATCATAACATGGATGGTTCTGCAGTGTGCACGCGCCGTTGCTTTCTCACTAGTCATTTATGTAATCAGTGGGAGGTAGGTATTTTACAAATGTGGGACTAAAAGAAAAGGCTGGAGCGGGAAATCTGAAACTGCACAATAGTAGACACAAGGCAAATTAGCATGTGGAAGAGAGAGGTGAATTGGGGTATAACCCTGCAAAGGGAATGAGTGCACATTCCATTCTAGACATGGACATTTCCACATATAGATGGCATACATGGAACTCTCTGGTTTGGATATCATGAGCTTTACTTGGTTCTTTCTTTGCCTGACTGTATGATTTTGTTAGTTTTAACTAAACCAAAGGGAATGTAGTTTCTTTAGATTGTGCGATTAAGCAGCATAATACAAATCACATTTGCCATTGTGTCTGTTCTAGATTTGACTTGCCTGACAGAGGAAAAGGTATATGAAATCCTGGAATTGTGTGGAGAACGAGGAGATTATTCACCGTTGATTCGTGTTATCGGTAAAGTTTTCTCTAGCGCAGATGCTCTGGTGCAGAGCTTTCGAACGGCCAAGCAACACACCAAGGAAGAGTTGAAATCCCTTCAAGGAAAGGATGAGGATAAAGATGAGGATGAAGAGGAAAAGGCTGCCTCTGCACGGTCAATGGATGACGATTCAGTGGCCTCGTCATCACACACTACCACTGGGGGCACACACACAAGAGACAACAATGTGCATAGATTAGCTCCTGGTGAAGTGTCTGTTGATATTGACGCAGTCAGAAGGGTCTACAGTAAATTACTTTCCAATGAGAAGATCGAGGCAGCCTTTCTTAACGCATTGGTGTACTTATCACCAAATGTGGAGTGTGATTTGACTTATCATAATGTGTACCTAAGGGATCCGAACTATCTGAACTTATTCATTATAGTCATGGAGAACAGCAACCTCCACAGTCCGGAGTACCTGGAAATGGCCCTTCCCCTATTTTGCAAAGCAATGAGCAAACTGCCCCTTCCAGCTCAAGCCAAGTTGATCCGACTGTGGTCACAGTACAACACAGAGCAGATCCGTCGAATGGTGGAAACCTTTCAGCAACTCATTACGTACAGAGTCATAAGTAATGAATTCAGCAGTCGAAATCTGGTGAATGACGACGATGCTATAGTGGCTGCTACGAAATGCTTAAAGATCATGCACTATGCAAATATAATAGCAGGAGATGTGGACACGGGTCATAATGAGGAAGAGGAGGATGAACCGATCGCAGAGTCTAGCGAGCTCACTCTTCAGGAACTACTGGGCGAAGAGCGAAGGAATAAAAAAGGACCTCGTGTCGACCCCCTTGAGACCGAGTTGGGTGTGAAAACGATTGATTGCCGAAAGCCACTTGTCCCTTTTGACGAATTTATTAATGAACCACTAAACGAAGTCCTAGAAATGGATAAAGACTATACTTTTTTCAAAGTCGAGACGGAAAATAAATTCTCCTTTATGACGTGCCCCTTCATTCTGAACGCTGTCACCAAGAACTTGGGACTTTACTACGACAACAGGATACGTATGTATAGTGAGCGACGGATCACTGTCCTCTACAGCCTCGTACAGGGACAGCAGTTGAATCCGTATCTAAGGCTTAAGGTCAGGCGTGACCACATCATTGATGACGCACTTGTGCGGGTAAGTGCCTTTGTTTTCAAAAGCATTTGTGGAAAGATTATTCCTCATAGAGTTGCATTGTTTTATTATTCTGCAGAGAAGCAGTAAGACTGAACATGCCTTTTTTATCTGCAAAAAGAAAACAAATTCTGTTTAGTTCTAAAGAGTGAGTCCTTCTCCTTGTACTCCAGTAGAGGGAGGAGGGAAGGGGAAAGAAAATACTTGCTTCCGTTCTCCATTGTTTTAAAATAATCCTTGCATTTGATCTAGCACCTTATTGCATCAATATGTCTTGAAACACTTCATGGAGTTTTCTGTAAAGTGTAGTGACTTTGGAGGAGAACCAGCAGCCTATTTGCACAAAGCAAAGTCCCATAAAATGAACGACCAATTTAACTGCAAACTGTTGGCCAGGAGACTCCCTCCTCTTTACAGGTAGTGCCATGGGACCTTGAACATCCGTCTGAATAAGCAGATCGAACCTCAGTTTAATTCTCATCTGAGCAGTAGAACCTCCGACAATGCACCGCTTCCCAAGTCAGCACTACATTGGCATATCAGCCTAGATTGCATATGGCAGCACTAATTTGTCACTTCCTCACTGTAAGTGTTCTATCCGCATGAGAAGCTGACTTCCTTTCAGGATGGTGCATTCTTTGAACTATCCCTTGAGTTACTTCAGGTGTTTGGAAGGAAAGAGACATGAACTTTAGTTTTTTTTGCATGTATGTAGTCATCAACTTCTGTGTTTATTTAAAAAAAAAGGTGCAGGAACCATCCGATGACTAATATTGACAATACAATCTCCACCTGTGGTGCTTTTCATGTCATGACGACATCTCAAAGTGCTTGACAGTTCTACACAAAGTACAACTTGTGGTTCCAGGACTTTTAAAAGTATTGCATTTATATGAACGTATTGTGGACGGTCAAGAGCTCTTGAAGGACTTTCCAAATTAATTGGTAGAAATTTTGAGTTTCTTGTGTGGAAGGAAATATTTTGTGGCTGTATTTCTAAAAATGTTCTGAAAGAATTTGAAGCTGGTGACTTGGAGCTGCTGTTTGTTGGTGTACCAGGGTGTGGGGGCTATGGAATGCTACTCTGCAGGTTAATTGCTCTGCGCCCTTAACTTTTTGACCTTAGCTATGTTACGGAGTGAGCTAAGTGGAGACCAGGTCCTTCCTGGAGGAGAGGGCAGGAGCAGTTTTCTGTGCGTGCTCCCAGGCACTTTGCTGTTGTCACTCTCTGATTTGTATTCCATATAGCAGTTTGGTTAAGATTTGGAATTCAAGTACTATCATAGGCCTGAACTCGTTATAGCAGTCTGTGCTTAAGGGATTTGCACTGTTACTTCCACGTTCCTCATCATGTTTGCTTACTAATAGGCACTGCACTTTGCAGTTAATCTTGTAGCAGTCGGGTTGAAGAATGAATGTGCTGCTGTCGATTTCTATTTCCCTTGAGATGTGACTTAAAAGCCATTATGATATGGAGGAAAGCTTGGAATATGGTCTTAATTATTGGATTATTTGCTGGCACTCTCACCTGTGAATCTGAAGGTTGTGGGCTCAAGCCACATGTCGGCACTTAAAACCACTTGCACACGTCTACCTCAGGTGGCAACGTTTTTGTCTCCGAGTCAGAAATTGAAGGCTCAACTGCCATACTAGGGCCAAGATTAATGCAGCACACCATTATTAGAGGTGCAGTCCTTAGGAAGAGGGTTAATAATAGATAATAATCTATGTGTTTGATGTAGCCCCTTATCACTTCATTGAGACTTCTTAAAGTGCCTCTCAGAGCATATTGTAAAGTGAATTGACTGTACATTCACTTCACTCCAATTGACCGTGGAGTCTATAGCTGTGGAGTCCTGTTAGGTGGTTTAAGCACTCGCCTTGCAAGTGAGACACCTGGGTACTATTCCGGGCAGGGCAAAACCTTGGGCAAATTTCCTTACTCCACACACCTAATCCTCCAAAACCAAAAATAAATTGGTTATTTTCAATCCACGACTGTTTGTGGGACACTGCCGTACGCAATTGGCTGCCGCAGTTGGGCCACATATATACGGTCAATTCACTTTACAGTATATTCTGTGAAGCGCTTTGAGACGTCTAGGAGACGTGAAAAGCGCTTTATCAAATGCAAAGATTATTATTATTACATTTTGTGGGCAAAATGTGGCAGCCACCCGAATCGAATCTCGCTTGCGAGGCTAGCGCTCTAACCAGTACGCTACAGGAGATTATCCAGTCTGTTAGATGGTTCAGGTGAATTTTAAAGATCTCGGGTCTTGTTTAAAATATGCAAGTGGACGAGTCAAGGGCCTAAATCCAGCAATGAGGAAAACCTCTTTGTGAGTTCCTTCAAGCAGACTCCTTCCACACAAAACCCATCATGGAGAAAGGGTTGTATAAATATATCCCAGTACATCCAACCACATACTTCTATCCTTCTCACAAACCCAGGCTCCTCTCCCTGTCGTTGTTTTGTTTAAATCTGCAAGTGAATGAGGTCAAGAATGCAAATCACAGAATGAGGAAAGGCTATCGGTGCAGTCTTTACATACTTTGCCCACACTTTCCATAACCCCACAAAAACTCTTCTGTTATGGGTATGCCTTTACCCACCCCAGGGGAAGTGTTTTATAGATAATTCCCTGTATGTCCATCTGTACATTATCCTGTAATTACAAACCTGAGGTCCCCTGCCCCCCAATTTTATCCTTGTTCAACAGCTCTTCCTCTGTCGATCTCAAGACTTTTATGCATGTTTCTGGTGTTGAGAAAATCTGAAGTGTTCAGTAATGGACCATAAATTGACACTTACCTAATGTAGTGATATTTTGGAAGGAAGATATTCCATTAGGAGTGCATAATGGAGATGGCAATGTAATCTAAATTGCTTTTTATATAACGCATACTTAATGCATTGAAGAGAACTGACTTTATTGAGTGTATTGCAGGGGTTTAACTCATTAATTACTAACACACTTATTTTAAAGAAAGATCCTTTTTATGGTCAGTTTCGCCCACAAAATACAGTCGATCTTTATAGTATATCCTATCCTGTGCTTTGAGACATCTCGACAATGTGATGAGGCTCAATATCAAATGCAAGGATTATTATTGTTCCAATAAGGTCAATGCACTATCCAAATATTCCTTAAAATAATAATGAACCTTACATTTGATATACTGGCCTTCACGTTAGGAGGACATCTCAGAGATTAATTGTCAAATGTAATGACTGTAATTTGTAGGTGATTGCGATAGCTAATTTACATATAATTTACACATAGGCAATGTCCCACAAACAGCCCTGATGTGAATGATAATTGTTTTTATTCATCTGGAGAATTGCTGGCCAAGACGCTGGGAGAAACATTCATGGTTCTGTCCTTGAATGGCTCAGATCCTACCTCTCACATCGTCTCCACTTCATCTCCACAAACGGTTTCTCCTCCAGCCCCCGCACCATCTCGTGCGGAGTTCCTCAGGGCTCGGTCCTTGGTCCCCTCCTCTTCAACATCTATATGCTTCCTCTTGGTGACATCATCCGCAGACATAGGATCAACTTCCACATGTATGCGGATGACACCCAACTCTACCTCTCTGCCTCCACCCTTGATTCCTGGACCTTGACTGTCCTGACAGAATGTCACAAATCAAGTCCAAACTTTCTACAGTTGAATGTCAACAAGACCGAGGTCTGATTGGCTCCCATCAGCGCCTCCACTTCAGGCACTGACTGCATCATCATCCATGGTTGCGCACTCCATCTCACTGAGCCAGTCTGGAACCTTGGCATTTTGTTTGACCCTCAATTAGCTTTTCTTCCCTATATCTGTGCCATATTCCGCTCTGCCTTCCCCCACCTCCACAGCATTGCCCAGCTCCGCCACTGTCTCACACCACAGGCTGACAAGACCCTCATTCTTGCATTCATAGCATCCAGGCTTGGCTCCTTGCTTGTCGGCCTCCCCAACTCCTCCCTCCATAGGCTGGGGATCATCCCGAACTCTGCAGCCCGTGTCCTCTTCCGCACTAGACTCTGTGAGCCTATCACCCCATCCTCCCCCGACTCCACTGGCTTCCCATCACATAGAGGATTCAGTTCAAGATCCCGGTCCTCACTTTCAAAATCCTCCATGGCCTTGCTCCTCCCTACCTCTGCGTCCTCCTAACCCCTACCAACCTACCCGCTCCCTCCGCTCATGCCCCCCGCCTCACCCGCCCCATCATTGGCAGGCTGGCCTTCAGCCACTCTGCCCCCACCCTCTGGAACTCCATTCCGCAGTCCCTCTGTCTCGCCCCCTCCCTTACCTCCTTCAACCGTGCCTTTGATCACTCTCCTTCATTGCCCCCCTGCCCTCCCCGATCCCGACCCCCTCTCGGGTCCGAAATACTGATTGTCCAGTCCAGCACCTTGGGACATCCTCTCGACGTGAAAGGCGCCACACACATGTCATTTTGTTGTTGTCGTTGTTCTCTTTTTGAATTGTGCGGTGGGATCTTTAATGTCCACCTGGACAGATAGACAGGACCTCGGGTTAAACATCTTATCTGAAGAATGGCACCTCCAGCATTGCGCTGGAGTACAACCCTGGACTCTGAGTTGCAATCCCCAAAAAGGGCATTAAACCCACAACGTGCTGACTCGGAGGCAGGAGAGCTACCAGCTGATCCACAAGATGCGTTTCTGTTCTCTCTTTGCAGTAAATGGCTCTGGTTCTGTGGTAATGAAAATGCTTCAAATTAATTGAATCAAATTACTATATATAGCACAATGCAATTTATATTAGAGTGCCTTCCGCGTCGAGAGGTGCCTCAAAGTGCTCTTTAATGCAGAACTGATACAGAAACCAAAAATAAACTAAATATAAATAAAATAAAAATGGCAATGCTGAGGACACCAAAAGAACGCAGTGCAGAAGACTGCAAAAAAGAGGCATTTTTGGAGTACATTCCTCAACAATTTATTGCCTCCCTTCCTCCCCACTTCAAAATATATTGTTCGCGTGTATTTGTGAGTGTGAATGAACTGGTGAAATAATGCACCCCTATATATTCATTCACAAATTGTTTCAGTTTGAACCAATTTGTAGGATTATGTTGACATTTTATGGTGCGTTCTGATTTCTGACGCATGGGATTCAAACCATTACAACTTGAGATGTTTGAAACAAACTGCAGCTGTTTGTGCTACAAGCGCTCTGAGGCGCTACCCTGCGTGGTGGGCACTGTATAAGTTGCAAGTTGTTGTTGTGGTGGTGGAACGTATTGCAAAATTATTTCTGCAAAATTATTTTTGGAATTTACAAGAACAGTTCTGCATGATTAAGGAATTGTACCGAGTCAACCTCGTGATAAGTCCTGCAGACTAATGCTGTGAAGAGTGAACGAGCTGCAGCAGTTTGTACTTGATGTTCCTGTATCGCACTATTCAGAGCCTAAACTGAAATTCAGATTTCTGTAGTTAATGTAGTATGACTAATGTAGAAGGGAAAAAGTGATTCGGACCAGTGCAGATATTATTGCTATTTGCACTACTGTTCCCCATTGTGTTAAATTTAATTTTATAAAGCTCTCGCCTGATGTGCTGACTTTTAATACAATTGAACCTTCACTTTAAGTTGATTTGACAGTGAGGGCCATGTTTTTGCATTCCCATTTGTTGTCTTCCAGCAACTCTAGCAACAAACTGATCCGGTAGGTTCTAAATGGAATGGAAGACACCAACATAGTATATTCCAATTTTAATAAATATGACATGGTTATAATTAGCAACCAAAGCCACATTACATTTAGTGTCAGAACCACTGCTTTTTCTGTTAGTGTGTAAATAGTTGAAAATGTTTGGTGTCGAAGCTTTGCTGTGAGAGAATAACCCATTAACATTAAACTGTTTGCAATAGCTGGAGATGATTGCCATGGAAAACCCTGCAGACTTGAAGAAACAGCTGTACGTAGAGTTTGAAGGAGAACAAGGTGTGGACGAAGGAGGTGTTTCCAAAGAATTTTTTCAACTTGTTGTGGAAGAAATCTTCAACCCTGATATCGGTATGCATCTCAATTATTTGCTTTACATTTCATAATGTATATTAACAATAGTTCAGCATGTGGCTTGGTATCTTTTTATATATATATAATATAATACATATAACACTGTTCAGTGTAGACCACCAGTTTGATCCCTGGTCTATGGTGTTCAAGCTTGGAGAGGGTGGCAGTGGACGTGGTGAACTCTGCTTGTGGAATATAGAGGGAGAGGAATCGGCCCTTGAAGAAATGGTCATTTAGATGAGATACTGGAACCACACCCCTTGGGAGAGTGGAAATTAGAGGATAAAACAGAACTGTTACAAGGGGATATCTTTGTTTGTATTCAAACTGTGGGTTATTACTGAAAAACAAATTCAGAGGTTTATTTTCCTTTCTGTTCCTTCCTTCACCACTCCCGCCAAACCCCACCCATCTCTACCAAATACTTTCTGCCTTAAACTTAACAGTAGTAAATAATTAGGAGAGAGAGAATCGCCTCAGGGAAAAACCCATTAGCCTGACACCAGACAGCAATTGCATTTAGCTCTGAGAAAAGAGAAATAAGTGTTGTTTTTTCAGTGCCCCTATGAGACAAAATGTTGGGCAGAATATAATAGCATTATTATTCAACTATCATTATTTAAATGGTAGCATCATTGACACTATTAAATTTAAATTGTTAAATTAAACTTCCTCCGTATTGAGGAGGATAATTCACGGAGGTTTGTACAAGAGTCCCTCTTCACATTCTTTACGAGCTGCTTTGTGCTGGGTTTCACTGTTCTCTACTGTTCAGTGGGAGAGATTAAAATATACCCATCCTTAACAAGAACAACAACAACAACAAAATCACATTTGTATAGCGCCTTTCACGTTGGGAGGACGTCCCAAGGCGCTGGCCAATCAGTGTTTCAGATCTAAGCTGGTGGTCAGGATCGCGGAGGGTGGAAGGCAGAGGAGGAAGGAGGGTGATCAAAGACAAAGTCGAAGAGAAGGGTCTTCAGACAGGTCTTGAAGGAGGCAAGGGAGGGGGCCAGGTGGAGGGACTGCGGGATGGAGTTCCAGAGGAGTGGGCGCAGAGTGGCTGAAGGCCCACCCGCCAATGGTGGGGCGGATGAGGCGTGGGATGTGAAGCAGGTAGGGGGGAGCAAGACCATGGAGGGCTTTGAAGGTGAGGACCAGGATCTTGAACTGTATCCCCTGTGTGATGGGAAGCCAGGGAGTCGGGTGAGGGTGGGAGTGATAAGGTCCCAGAGCCTGGTGCGAGAGAGGACACGGGCTGCAGAGTTCTGGATGATCTGCAGCCTATGGAGGGAGGAGTTGCGGAGGCCGACAAGCAGGGAGTTTGCGTAGTCCTTAACATTTTAGCAAGATCTTTACATAAATAGCTGAAATAACCCAAACTGCATTTCAGAGGTGCGTGGATCCCTGACTGTCCACGCACAAGAACCCGGCCCAACCTGCTGGAATAATAAACCCCAAGTATCAAGTGCAGCTACGTTATTCTTCAATGTAATTAATCAGAGATCATTAACTTGCAGCTTCATTATGTTGCTCGTATGTTGTGTGATCGGTTCACCCTGTTCACATGTAACGTCAAATGGAGACCAATGTGATCACTTTATCCACAAGTTTGAGTTGTAAGTAACACTTTCTCACAAAACTGTTTGAAGTGTTTGAACTGTAATCTTAGTTTCTTTTAAAATTGTAAATTGACCCTTTAATTCCTTCCAACTATTATAATAATATCAACAAACAAACAAATAAATAAAGCTTGCATTTTGTAGAGTGCTTTTGATGTCAGGAGGATGCCTCAGTATTTACTGTGTATTTGTGGGCAAATATGTTTATATCTTATGCCTTTCATGTAAAGAAAAATTAAAACACATTACAAAATATAGTTATAATTGAAAATGAATATCGTTTCGGAGGCATATCTGACAGCTAATCCCTTTGATTATCCCATAATCAATGAGATGAGTACAGCCAGTTCATATTTGAACTGATGGTGAATTCGTGTCAGGAGAGGAATATTTAAGTAAACCAGAAGAAGGAAACCACATTTCTTTGTATTCAATACAATTTACACATATACTGTATAGCACTTCATGTCAGGAGGACATCTTAAAGCGGTTAAAACTGCTGGCTGGGGATGGGTGGAGGGAAGATGACTGAAAGAAAGCCTGTTTATGGAACACCTGAGTGCACATAATTGTATTTAATACTGAATGTTCCGTACACATACGTGGCAACAGCAGCAACCCACAAATATCGAGTCAAATTGATTTACTTTTTTTGTGGAATATGAAATTAGTATATTCAAATTAATAGGAAGGATTCTCAAATTGGGGAACGAGGAAAAGAGGGAAAGGCTAAAATAAAAAATGACTTGAGATTAAGTGGAGTACTGATAGGTGGGGAGCCTAGGTTCAGAGTAACAGCTACGAGGTGGGAGGGTTCAAGGCCAGATCAGTCACGGATCTTGTGCTGACTTTTAAGAGCGAATGCACTGTTGAACAACATGCAAATAATATGATTAAGCGCAACACTCTTGGCAGACTTTGTGTGAAAACAGGCCTGCAATGCCACCACCCGGGTGAATCCCCAGTCACATTAGCAAACCTACGCACATTTGTGCATTTATCAGCATGTGTTTTTGGCAACAGGTTTCATTGTGAAATATAAATATTCTCACATGTAGATCGCTATTTAGGAGGTGGAACTAAAATGCTTTGTGACCAAATGTGTTGTAAGCAGTTTGTAATGTGATATAAATTCAGAAGAGATTGAGAGGAATTTTTCTAATATTTGATCAAGGTGCAATTTTTTTTTGGGGGGGCGTTGAGAGGAGCGAGGAAGGTGAAAGCTCAGTGCGTAAGCTGCTGATGGTTTATTTAGAAACCATAAATTATTCGCAGTATTTCTTAGAAACTTATGGTTTTGCGTTCAGTCTCAACACAGCTGCAGGTGGCCAGCAGTCATCCTCTCTGGCTGATGAAAGATGTTCAAGAGTAGAGTAGAGGGTGCCAACTCCCAACAATCCCCTTTCTTTTCTTATTGCTTCTTCCCTCCCTCCCCACCCCATCCTCCGTTCCCCACTCTATGGAGAACCCTCTGACCTTTGTATTTTGTTCTGGGAAATTGCTCAAAATGTTAACACCCCAGAAGCGAAAAAACTATAATGTTGAAGTTATATTGTCCCATTGGCTACCAACAGCCCAGCCTGAGCCCTTCTCACACTGTTTGTATGAACTAAAAGCTTCTCAGGTATTCCAATAATGACCGCATTCAATGAGTTATATTTTGTACAACACTAAAGCAGTGGTGCAGCTGCATATGACATTTTCCAGTGAACAGAATGAAATGCAAACCCAATGAAAACTCTGTTATCTCATGTCTCAGTAGATCTTTCAAACTTCCAACGGTTTAACATTTTGTCATCGGTGTGTGCTTTTCTTTTCCCCCTCCACCCGCTCAGGAATGTTCACATACGACGAAAGTACAAAATTGTTCTGGTTCAACACCTGCTCCTTTGAGACCGAGGGACAGTTTACTCTGATTGGCATAGTTCTTGGCCTTGCCATTTACAACAATTGTATACTGGATGTGCATTTTCCTATGGTCGTTTACAGAAAACTCTTGGGGAAGAAGGGAACCTTCCGTGACCTGAAAGATTCTCACCCGGTAATTTCTGTTTCTATTTCTCTAAATGTGTCTATTAATCTTTTCACTTGCACTAAAGTTTTTATATCCTATCTTTTATTTTTTTAAAAATAACCATTGAATTGATGCTTCCAGTAAATAAGATTTGAGTTTTAGGACATCCTCCTGACGTGAAAGGCGCTCTACAAATGTAATTTTGTTGTTGTTGATGCTCCCATTCTAATTCACCAGCCAGTGAAAATTGTCTCTCACTATTTACACTTGACCCATATTTTTTTTTACCTCTTTTAGTTCCCCTCTTAACCATCTCTTCCCCTGTTATTACAACCCAGACTTTTATAACATATATACAGGGCAACCCTTTTTCCAGTGTGGTTCAGTTTCACATCCTAGAAGTACACACTGTATAACAGGACAGCAAAAAGAATGGCTGGCAGTCTCAGGTTGTCAGGATGTTGTAAACTTAGCTTTTGGTGTGGACTGACCGGTTTCTACACAGTAAGCCAACCAGTTAGTCATGACCAAAGGGAGGGAAGAGGCAATTTTTTTTCTCACAGAGTTATTACGATCTGGAATGCACTGCCTGAAAGGGTGGCGGAAGCAGATTCAATCATAGCTTTCAAAAGGGAAAGGAGTGGGGGAGTAGGACTAGTTGGGTAGTTCTTTCAAAGAGCAGGCATGAGGGACAGAATGGGCCCCTTGTATGCTGTAGAGTTCTACAATTCTATTCAATGACCACTCTTGCAAAGATTTTCACGAATTTTATGTACCACACTTCTGGTACTCATATGCCCATAGGTCACACGTGTAATAAACAAACTGCTTCTAGCGAGAAGCCTTGTATCCCCGTGTATCCTGTTGTTTCTGTACCCCCTCTCTCCATGGCACATATCTTTCTGCTATTGCAACTGTGGCTTTTGATTTTTCTTACCAGATCCTGCACCAGAGCATAAAAGAACTGACTGAGTATGAGGGCTGTGTGGAGGACGATATGATGATTACTTTCCAGATATCACAAACCGACCTTTTTGGCACTCCAGTAATGTCCAACCTAAAGGAGAATGGAGATCTAATTCCAGTGACTAATGACAACAGAAAGGTAATGTGGAGCTATGTTCCTGTCTGCAATAAAAGGAACCAAGCTCAGATATAAATGTGAATTGACTCAGCGCAATCAGACAAATTGATACATTATTTGTTCGTCTGTCTCTACTCCAGACCTGCAGCGCTTGAAGGATTGCAGTGGGAAATTGGGAAGCTCAAGCTTATATTCGGGGGATGCCGGTATTCAGAGTAAATGTAACCTTGCTTTTAGTCGGGTTTAGTCCTGCGGATTTTATATCTACATTGTACGATTTAGTTACGAGTTGGCTGATACAGAGCAACCTTCTTATAATGTGGTTGGCTCAGGCACTGTGTTACAATAAAGTGTACACCAATGGCTGACTTCCTGGTTGGATTGCCATTGGTGGCACTTCCTGTGTATAGGTGTGTGCTCTGCACACAGGAAGTGGCACAAGTAATGATCCGGATGTTGGCCTTGTTTAGTCAGCTGACAGCAACAACAACAATTTATATAGCGCCCTCCACGCTGGGCAGCGGCCCAGAGGGCTTAACAATGGTGGATCCGAATGCCGAGCCAGGGGGAGGGGGAAAGTGACCATAGGCACTGTTGAAGAGGAAGGTCTTCAGGGGCAACGTGAAAATGGTTGCTGAATCAAGCTTAGCGCAACTACAAAAACAACTTGCATTTATATATGGCCTTTTACACAGGGTAGCGTCTCGGAGCGCTTAACAGTGGCAAAGCCTACCACCGAGCCATGGTGGGCGTTGTGTGTGTGACCGAAGGGTAATACAAGGCCACATTAGACTAGTTCTAATGGGGACGCCCATTGACCATGAACAATGGTTTCAACGTTGGTAAATCTGACCTGTAGTTTAACAGGTGTCTGGATGGTTTGATTGTGAATAAACTTGATATGCAAAATGTTTCTTAATTTTCAACTTATTCGTAGCTCTGATCTGATGATTTATGTCCCAACAGGAGTTTGTTAAACTCTATACAGATTATATTCTCAACAAATCAGTAGAAAAGCAGTTTAAAGCCTTCAGAAGAGGCTTCCATATGGTAACCAATGAGTCGCCACTGAAGTATTTATTCCGACCTGAGGAGATTGAGCTGCTAGTCTGTGGAAGTCCGGTAATCAAGCATTAGTTTTCACTCAGCATTTTAGATTACGTACTTTAAACTTTTATTTTGTTAAAGATAATAATATACATTTCTCACAAATCTTAGTACTTAGATTTTCAAGCACTTGAAGATACTACAGAGTATGATGGCGGTTATACCAAGGACTCCAGGATTGTTAGGTATGAATTTAGGTTCATTCCTGCTTTCTGCGTACGCACATTTAGATTTAAAAGTAAATCAGCAAATTGGATTTAATTTCTATCAGAGTGGAACTGTGTCAGTGTTGATACCATTTGCACCTGCTGCCTGGGAAAGCTGCTCTGTGTAGATGGAGAATGGTGAGGATGTTACAGATCCAAGCTAGGAATCTCTAACTCACCTTAGAGCTCGCCTCCTAGTGTTGAGCAACAGGACTCTGAGGCACACACCCTGTCAGTGTTCCACAGTGCAGTTGTGGTATCTATCCACAAAAGTCTGACCTGAGTGAGACCGAGAGCTACAGAGGCATCTCACTGATTTAATTGGCTGTTAAAGTGGTGCTTTGGTAGTTGCTGCACATGTGTCTCATGATTGTAATCTCATGGTGTAGTCAGGAAGGAGCAGGCTGGCTTCCGTTCTCGTGAGTAATGTGTGGGACAGGTTGTGGCTCTGTATGAGATCACAGAATGTTGGAAGGCTAAAGGGAAACCTACTAAGATACTTTCATCATTATCCATAAGGCTTTCAACTTGGTCCCTCATGAGACCCTTATGATGAAACTGGAAGCCATTGGAATACATGGACAACCAAGGCTGCCCATTGTCACCCACCCTATTTGATGTATTCATCAATGACATGTTGGATAGCATCAAGACTTGGTGCATCTGATCCAGGCCTTTCTGACTTGATTGCTGTGTTTCTATTTGTGGCTGTAGGGATGTGATATTTGGATGTGCTAGGATGAAAGGAAACTGGGGACAGTTTTTTTTTTNACAAGAGCATTTTACAAATTAAACCAACAGCTTGATGGATCTGCATGGAAACCGGTTCAGTGTATATTAGAATCAAGCCCTACGTTCAGAATTTGACCTTGCAGTCTGGGCTGGCATTTCAGTGAAATGTTGGGGTAGCTCTGCTTGGTCGGAGGTGATGTCCATCGACTTGTTCAGGTGGATGTTAAAGATCTCATGGTATTATTCAAAAACATAAGGGAGTTTCTTCCTGTGTCCTTGACAGTGGTCCCCTAAATGAAATTGTTCTTTCACTTCATGGATTGTTTGTGGGACATAGTTGTGATTGTAAGTTTCATTGGTATATGGAATAGGAGAGGAAGCCTTTACTAATGGTTTAATTCATTCCTGGCTGCTTTGATTGGGCTATATCAAATGCAAGGATTATTATTATTATTGAAGCAATGACATCTGATTTCCATCTGTTTTGCAAGCTCCTTAACCAAATTAACCAAACGGTCTCTGGTCTGAAAGTTTGAAATAGATGGATGAACGTTACCTCGACCCAGCTTAAAAACTGGCTATTATTATTGCTGTTCTCTATCTAGTTGGTTGTGGTCTTTACAAGGAAGAAACTAATTTCCTTTTAAAGATTTCATTGCCGTCAGAATGGCCGGTTAAAGGCTAATTGCCAGTTTGCTGCTGCGTGAATTAGCAAAGGGCCCATTGACGGAAATGAGTCCCTCAAATCCATAACTTCTCTCCTATTTGGGATCATCAACCAACACAGTGTAAAATATCCTGGGCAAATCACCCCCCAAAAGGAGCAGAACTCAAAGCAAGTAATCCTTACAGCGGCCTTTCAGGTCATTGGTGGATGATGATGATTATTAGCAGTAGTAGTAGTAATATTATTATCATCCCAAATAGGAGAGGAGTTGTGGATTTCCAAGAACATCAGTAAAAAGAAAGCGGTCCTTCACTTATTTGAACTTATGAATTGTCAATACGACAATCCCAATGAGTTTTATTCCTAACCTAATATTGTTTGTGATTTTCAGGGAATTTTGGGAAATTGTTCACGCATTTACTAAAGAGCAGAAACGGCTTTTCCTGCAGTTTACCACCGGCACAGACAGAGCACCTGTCGGTGGCCTTGGGAAAATTAAGATGATTATAGCCAAGAACGGACCAGATTCTGACAGGTAAAGGGTCTGATGCAAGCTGTGACGATGCTGAGACGTCTGGTTTTAAATGTGCTAGAACAGCTTGGGCGCTCGCTGCTCTCCAATGTGTTTGTGGATTCCCCTGCTATACCTTCAGGGCTTGGGGGATTAGCAGCAGTTTGGTGTCCCAATCTGTCACCTGGACCCACCTTTGTTTTACACAATGGTTTTTTTTTCAGGCCTTTAACATTACAGGCCACGTCTCCTACAGTCATCTTTTAAAGTCTCATGTTTGAAGATTGTCTGCCCAGTTAATATATTTAACTCCATCCTGGAATCCCTCTACCTTGCCTCCTTCAAGGCCCATTTCAAGACCTTCCTCTTTGACTGTGTCTTCAGCCACCCCCCTATCCTCCATCCCTCTTTATCTCAAACCCTAGGCTCAGGTATAAACCCTTGACTGAGAAGCGCCTTGGGACATCCTTCCAACGTGAAAGATGCTATATAAATGCAATTTATTATTGTTATTTATCGTTGTAGCTTAGTGGTTATAGCACTCGCAAGCGAGAGGACCTGGGTTTGATTCCTGGGCAGGGCGAAACGTTGGGCAAATTTCCTTCCTCCGCACGCCTCTGTTTACCTAACAGTAAGTAGGAACCTAGTTGTTAGTCAATTGGCGGATCGATTTTCCGGGGGCAATAATCCCCTCATAAAAAATTAATAATAATAACTTGGTCACTCAATCCACGACTGTTTGTGCACAATTGGCTCCTGCGTTACGCTCACAAAATACAGTCAATTCACTTGCAGTATATTCGATTAAGTGCTTTGAGACATCTTGAAGACATGATAAGGCACTATCAACTGCAAGTATTATTATTAACGTAGGCTCAGTTGAGGCCAGAAGTTACTGAGTTTGAAGCCTGGTGGGTGCATTGAGCTCTGCCCTTTCAAAGTTGACACAATAAATAACTAGTTTAAAAAGTGTGATTGGGGGAGAGGTCATGTCCTGTGGTCTTCCTGGGGCTAAATGGTTTGTAGGAGACATGCATAATTAATATCCTTAGCCCTGCAAACTCAAAACCGAATTACTAATGGTACTAGCTGGTGAACTACTAGACTGTATAGTTGGAAGGACCAGAAAAAGCTTCTGAAATGGATCCCAGATTGACATGGAAGCAATAGTGTCCCGTGAGGGATAGTGCTATTTGCATGTCCGTAAGTTGTTTGAAAGTGGGGAGAAAACCAAGTTGATTTGTTATGTCTGATTTGCCTTGTCTAAATTGCTGATGTAAAACTGGGGGAATTGTAAACTGCACTCAGACTGCATAGATTGGGGAGTTACATGAGAATATGTGGATGTACATGACTGACCATTATGCTATAATTGGCCAGTCTTAAAATCTCGCGGCAGCCCCCCCCGCCCGCCCCCAGCTCATCCCACCATCTGCGGTCAGGCCTTCAGCCTCTCTGCCCCCACCCTTTGGAACTCCATCCCACATTCCCTTCACCTTGCTCCCTCCCTTGCCTCTTTCAAGGCCTGTCTCAGGACCCTCCTTCGATCATATCTTGGGTCACCCTCCCTGCCCACAACCGCTGCTGATTCCAAATCCCTGACTGTCCAGCACCTTGGGACATCTTCCCGATGTCAAGAAGCGCTATACAAATGTAATTTGTTGTTGTTTAAAATAAGCATCAATTACGATACTGTTTGCTGTGATTTAATGCAAAAGAATCTCTGACCTCTTGCTTTTGCCCATGGCTGAACTAACAATGAGTTTTCTCTTGCAGGTTGCCAACATCTCACACGTGCTTTAATGTCCTCCTGCTTCCTGAGTACCTCAGCAAGGAAAAGCTCAGCGAGAGATTACTAAAGGCCATTACCTATGCCAAAGGCTTTGGCATGCTGTAAACAATCCGAATGTAAAACGTGTGATAGAAAGTAAATTGATGGGTGTCGATATCCCTGTATTTTTTAATAAAAGGCCACAAGATAGTCAGCTACTGTAGTCACCAATGTCTGTGCCTCCCCTTCTGGGGACACTGGTCTGGACAGCAGAATTCAGCTACTTGTACGAACAAAACAAATTATTATTTTTTTTAGTGTGACTTTCATATCATTTTGCTCATCTGTACAGTCAACTTTTTTTTTCTGAATATTTATTTTAAAGTTCCAGGAAAAAAAAATTACACGAATCATAATACAGTTTGTTACATGAATGATTTGAGCCTGTTTTTTTTGAATTTATGAAAGTAAATGAAATTCTCCCCAAAAATTAACGTGCTGGGATTATCATCATCAATGTGTTCTTTTTAAAATATATATATGTACTTTTTGGGGGGGGTTTCGTGCTAAATACTCTATTCAAGGTCCACTCTTTTTCCCTCCCCCTACCCTACATCGCTTTGGAGCTTAAGTATTGGGGTGGTTGATGCAAGTCATGCTATTTTAGACCCAGATCTGATTTAACATCTCTTTAGGTCTAATAAAGACGGAAGGGAGAAACTGGAATGTTAACAGCCGCGGTCTTGAGATCTCTTGCTTTAGTTACAACACAGTCATTCTTGGAAGGTTTTAAAAAAAAATAAAAGCAAAAGTTCACTGTTGGTAGTTCTCACGAGTGTGGAAATGCATTTTCTGTTTAAACTTTCAAATCTCGCCCCTCTCTGTCAGAAGGTGAGAGATTGGTCTTTTATTTTTTCCTGAGGGTGTCTTTTTGAGTCCATTACTAAGGGTTGTTTCGAGAGGGTTGCAATGGGCGGGGATGGGTGTGCAGGAGGGGAAGAAGGAAAAAAAAACAGAGCAAAATGTTGGCAACGTTTATGAAATGAGCACCGCAATAATAGTCTATTAAAAATATGAAAGTGCACCTGCAAGAAATGAAGCTAAACTTAGTAAGTTTCATCTTTTAAATGAATATCTTGACAATCCAGAGTCTTCCATGCTTTTACTTTTTTTTGTTCGTTTTACCTTCTGTACCTAACAAATAATTACATATTTTTCAGTAACTGATACGGTTGTTTAATCCTCTAGGCGTTATTTTAGCTCAAATGGAAACACTTGCCTTGCCTGAGAGAGTACAGTGATAATATCAGTGTAACAACTATTTAAACACATTTTCACTCATTGATAAAATGCACAATCAATGTTGATTCAAATGATACCATTTACTAGCCCTGTTCGAAGTGACGTCTCAAGGTTCTTGAACTGGATTTCAGAATATTTTATTCGAACACCTTGCCATTAGATGAATCACAGACGATCTGCTTCTCACTTTCGATGTATAAAGCGCAGTAATGGTGATAGGGGAATGGGTACAAACAGTAATTTGTGTTAACGCGAATAGTTTTTTTAATCCAGAAACCCATTTGGCATTTCAACTATTGGGATTTTTATTTCTGCTTCACAGACATTTAACGTGTTAAAACAAATCATATGATAATCCTGCATTAAAATCTTAGTTTGTGAACGTTCTTTTTTGTGTCGAACTGAGGTGGATCAAACTTTACTCTCCCCCCCCACCCACCCCCCCATCTCAAACATAGTCTTCAAAGGGATTGAGTCAAATGCAGGTGCTTGTCACAGAGTAAACCGAAGAGAGGTTTAGCACGTAGACTGGTTGGTTCCTGATTGTTTCCAGCCAAGATATTTCATATTAAATCCGCTTCTTAGTATAGTAGTTCCAGGTACTGATCAAATATTAAACATTAACATTTCATACTTTCATCCGCTTTGAACTTTTCAAGGAGGTTAGCCTCATCCTGTCATATTTGATATGTTCCCGTCACACGCATACACGATCAAAAGCATTGTTTGAACCAAACCTATTCATTGTGTAATTCAGCAGAAATAGATTTGTGCTGAAATTTGGCAGAAAATATTAAAACGTGCTCCTTGGGCAGAACAAAATTTGATATCAGATTCTTTTTTTGCAAAGTAGCATTGGAGCGCTCTGCTATGCCACTTTTTTAAATATATAAACTAAGCTTTAAAATGCATGGGAAGTGTGTGACATAATATGAGTATGGAAGTAATATTCTCGTAATACCTAATACTACAGGAAATAGTGTGGGTAGAAATTAACAATGAGAAGTCGAAATTAGTGATAACCTAAATAATAAATTTGACTACTGAGAATTTGGTCTTTTAAGAGTTCTTAAGAATTTACTTTTTTTTCAATAATTCCATCGAAGGAAATAGTTTAGTTTAGAATCAGGGTGATAATGCATGCAAATCGGGGGGGTCAGCATGGGTGCTTTAAATATGGAGACTTGCTCCCCTTAAAACAATATAACATTTGATCTTATATCAGTAGTAAACGGGCAATTTAGTATTGCTTAATTCCACTTATTGATTTTGATTGCTTTAATGTATTTGTTCCTTTATAACACGAGTTAGTACTTGTTAGACATTTAAACACAAGGTACAATGAAACTTTTGTACGTCAAATTGGCCGGGCTAACGCTTTCACTTCAAGTGCGTGGTTTTGGTAATTGTAATTTTTTTAAATTTAAAAAAAAATGGGCTTTCACAAACCAAGCCACAATTTGAGTAGCTGATAAATAGGTCTGTTCGCTAACCTTTTCTTAAGACTTAATTTCACGTGGGTTTTTTTTTTTGCATTTTACTTTCAATTTCATGCATTTTCAATGGTATTCAGCTTTTTGTTTGCTTTACGGGACAGTTCAGTACATCTCATTAGCCCAAAGTTTGTTTGCATAAAATATTGATCTCCCCTGTACATGGCTGTTAATGCAGTGATCTATTAAATGCTGTAAATTTTCCTAACTTTGCCATCACATCCTATGATATATTTGTTTTTTTTTCTTTTCCTGATGTTTTGAATGTGGTTTCATCCAGTTTAGGAACTCTTGTGTTGCCCCTTTGTAATTTGTGTAAATTTGGGCCATCGATTAAGAACAGGGAGAGGGGTAGGGGTGGGGGGTGGGGGGGGCAACTTATCAGAAGCCATCTACAAATGTCAGATTGTAGCTCATTTTGCACTTTGTAGCTTATTAAAAATTGTACAATTTGAAGTGGTAAAATGTCTTGTTCTTTTCCAAATTGTCAGGGATTTTGATAGAATTTTTTTTGTTGAGTGGTGGAAGTTTAGATGGGGGGGGGGATTGAGTGTAAATAGTATTAAAATAGGTCGTTATCACAGCGTGGGACATTCCGTACCTGGAGATGTCTAACTGCAGGGGAATCGCCCACACTCCACCAGACATTATTCAAAATGTTTGTCCCGGTTCTGACGAAGGGTCATGGACCCGAAATGTAGACTCACTTTCCTTTTTCCATAGATGCTGCCTGACCAGCTGAGTGTTCCCAGCGACTTCTGCTTTTGTTTATTCAAATGCTTTTGTCCAACTCAGGCCTTCGGTCACCCTCCTTCCCCCCCACCCCACCCTCCCCGATACCAACCCCCAGCTCAGGACCAAAACATTGATTGTCCAGCGCTTTAGGACGTCCTCCCGATGTGACAGGCGCTATACAAATGTAATTTTGTTGTTCTTGTCTTTGCAACTGTTGTTTGAATGATTTTCAGGAAAATTTGATTGAATTCAATGGGGGAGGGGTCCCCACATAAGTTACCCACTGTGATATCTGCCCCAACTTCTGCTATTTATCACGTCACATTGCATTTTCCACCCATTTACTAGCTTCGGGTTTTTCCACTTTCCATTAATAAGTTTAATGCATTTTCTTTCTACTTTCATCTACAATCTTATTGCAGATTGCGTGAAGTTTTTGTTTGCTTCTCACAGACACTTTGTTGAGCTTTGTTCATTTAATAATAATTTGGTCCATGGTCGCTGCCCCTTATGGGTTACCTCGGTTGCTTGGTTCTGGACTAAATAGTTGGATGAAGAAGGCCTTTCGGTATCCATTTGATCTCATAGTTTTAGAATTTGTTTCACTCACTTTACAGTATATTGTGTGAAGTTCTATTGAAACGGCTTGAAGATGTGATAAGGCTCTAAATCAATTGCAAGTATTATTAATATCACCCTACAGTCCTCCCAATACAGTAATACATGTTTCTTAGCCCGAGATCAGTTTTACATCCTGCTTTCAGATCTGGTTTCTTTCCACTCATTCATATGGCTGCTTTGTGTGGTTTCAGAATGGACTAGGACACAGCAAAAAGTGACATGGACTGCTGAGTTCACTAGTCAATGCTGGTTTACTTCTTGAAAGAACACTTCCTCTTTTTGTAATTCAATTTCCCCAGGCATAATCTTGCCAGCAAAAATTGGCTTCAGTGAATGCCTTACTTAAGATGCTGCTCTTCTACCCCTCTAGCTAATAAAGCAGTTCAAACAAGGCTTCTCCAAGAGTCTTTTGCTATGTAATTGTACACTTTATTATTAATAATAATCTTTGCATGTGATAGAGTAGATGGGGTATTCACAACTTTGACGTTGGAAAGTCAAAAGCGCTCACCAGATTTACAGTAAAGTACGGTGACTGTAATTTGTAGCCAAGCAATGACCGAAAAACAGCCATGAAATAATGGCTGATTTAGTTGGGGGGGCGGATTGTTGACCAGCAAACCTAGGGGGAAAAAAATCCTTTCTCTTTAGAATAATGTCATGGGAACACCCACCTGAATAAGCGAAACAGGATCTCAGTTTAAAATCCCATCTGAAGGTTGGCATCGCAGACTCCCCCAGCCATATCGTGGGATTGTCAGCCGAGAGTTCAAAGTCCTGACTTGGAGCTTGAACCTACCACCTTCTAACTCAGAGGTGAGAGAACTACCCTCTGAGTTAGGTTGATATCAATTGAGAATGAAGCTGAAAGGGGGTACGGTATCTACATAGAATTGTGATGGGGAAATTTGCAGGATGTGAAGCTCTTGATAACCAGAAGAATATAATTGGCCTCTTCTTGTGCTTCATGGCAGGTTTGAAGCTGAGCATCCATCTGACTTCTGGAGAATGGTTTGATTTCCCTACGCCAGAACTCAGTACAATGCCTTTTTTTTTCAAACCGAGAAGAGTTCTGTCTTTTGAATACTGGTCACGGGATTGACTTTTTAACTTTTTTTTTACTTTTAGAATTCTACCACAGAGGGTAATGTCTTGTCAGGGAGGTCCAATATAATCCTTCCATTTGACATAGCGTTCCATAACATCAACATGTCTTAAATGACCAACAAGAACAGCAATTAAATAGCATCTTTCACACAGGGTAGCGTCTTGGAGCGCTTAGCACTGACTCATCGCTATTTTGGAGCGCTTCATGTCTCCTCAGCACAAATTAAACCCTTTAGATGATTATCCACCGGTGTTTACTTCATTCACCCCCACTTCACTTGGGAAGCCTTGCTATTTCAGGTCTCTTAACTCATTGAGCCGCTCCCAATGACATGTTGGAGGAACAAATCTTATAGGAAATCTGGAAATTGACACTACTCACTGGGCATTGCTCTGCACTCAAAATGGGGCTATTCTTCTCCGAGTAGCTCAGAACTGAAGCTGGGCCAGGTTTGGTGCTTAAATTGTTAGTCTGCGTCAACTTATTTATACGTGCAATGTGCAAGCAATACCTCGTGCGGAAGAAAGGGAACACAAATGAAAGGCAGCCAATTCACAACGAATGCTGCGGGAGAAAACAATGTTTTGCTAAGTTTCTGTATTGTTTTAAGGTGTTTATAAAAGATAAATAGCTTTGCTTTCGCATCTCAAACTAAACTGGAAATACATATGACATATTAAGCAAGGTTTGTATAAAACTTTCAGTACTCAATAGTTATTACATTTGATGCAGCATCAGGATGTCTCCAAACACTCCACAGGATATACTGTAAAGTGTAGTGACTTTGTACGTTGTAGGCAAATGCGCCAGCCAATGAGCTCAAAGTCCCAATTTACGAATACATGTTTGCTATGATTCACAGTATCTTTGAGACGTTTAGATGAAATGATAAGATTCTATAATCAAATGCTTGTTTATTACTACACTGGGCTGTCAGCCTTGACTTGACGTCCTGGCACGGGGCTGAAGTCAACCTCACGCAGAGCTGAGAGTGCTGCCAACTGAAACAAGCTGACAATTGCCAAATCCAGTTAGATTTGATGAAGTGGCACCTGGTAATCTGCTATATATCTCTACCTCTAGGAGGAGCTCTTAGTATAGTACACATACTGCGTACAGCGCAGTGTTATTCAAACACTGACTCTTGAAACCATTATAGAAAAAAGGGGCCACAAACTTCGATCGGAATTTAGAGAATCTTTAGACTCGAGAGAGGGAGAAAGATTGTCCTGCTCCAACTTGTTTCAATTCAGAGAGATTTTTACTTTTGTCTGATGGCTCAAACGAAGCGCAATATCGAATGCAAGGATTAGTTTATTTATGATTATTAAAATGGGGTTTTGAGAGGCATTAAAAGTTTCTTGATAATTTGAAAATCGTGCTCGCAAGTATTGAGCAATATTGTATAATAATAATCCTTGCATTTGACGTCATGTCGTTGAGACGTCTCAAAGTGCTTCACCGAATATATCATAAAGTGGATTGATTGTATGTTGTAGGCAAGGCAGTCCATTTGCACTCAGTAACGTCCCACAAACAGCCTTGTGGAGTCCTGTAGCTCAGTGGTTAGAGCACTCGCTTTGGAAGTGAGAGATCGGAGTTAAATTCCAGGCAGAGGGCGAAACCTTGGGCAAGTTTCCTTACTCCACACAGAGCCTAATAATAATCCCTCCAAAACCAAAAACAATAATAAATTGGTCATTTTCAATCTACGACTGTTTGTGGGACATTGCTGTGCGCAATTGGCTGCCGCGTTCGCCCACAAATATACAGTCAATTCACTTTACAGTGTGTTCTGTGAAGAGCTTTGGGACGTCCTCCCGACGTGAAAAGCGCTATATCAAATGCAAGGATTATTACTATTATTGAAGTAAATGACCAATTTTATTCTTGGGGATTGTTAACACTGTGAGAAACCCCATCACTTTTTGAATTATACTACAATATCTTTAATGTCTACCTGAACAGGTAGACGGGGCCTCAATTTTAATGTCTCATCCAAAGGATGGCACCTCCAACAATACAATGGACGTGCTACAGTTCTTGATAATCCTCCAGTTTAAACATTAAAAGTTTCAGCTACAAGGCTTGACAATGTGGAGGGTGGGTTTGAACAACTCAAGAGAAGTCACTCAGATTTGTGACGTTTCCTTACCCCCACCGCCACCACCAAAAAAATTTTAAATAATAAAGCAATGACTTAAAATGGAATTAAAATACCTGAGTATAAATTAACCGGAGGAATACCTTGCTCCTCCCTACCTCCGTAGCCCACTAACCCCGTAATCAACCTGTCCATTCCCTCCGCTCAGTGGGCTCTGGCCTGCTCCATGTCCCCTGTCTGGTCGGTTCCACCATCACCAGTTGGGCCTTCAGTCTCTCTGCTCTCACTGTCTGGAACTCCGTCCCTAAATCCCTCCATCTCACCCCTTTCCTTGCCTCCTTGAAGGTCCGTCTCAAGACCCTCCTCTTCAACCGTGCCTTCGGTCATCCTCCTACCCCTAACCTTCCTGCCCTCCACCCCTCCTGATCCCAACCCCCTGCTCGGGTCCAAATCCTTAACTCTGCAGCCCCCTGGGACGTCCTCCCTACGTGAAAGACGCTGTAAAAATGTAATTTGTTGTTGTTTGTAGGGATTGTTATTGATCCAGTTTCTCAGCTGTAGATTTTCCTTTGTTAGCACCTCATTGTAACTTTCCAAAAGCAACATCTCTGGAGGAATGTCCCGCTGAACAAAATTCAAGTCCAGCTTCTTGCAGGTGATGCTCCTGTGATTTGCTTCTTTGCCGACAAGGTTCCACCCAGCTCTGTCCCCCTCCAGCTCTCTCCAGCGCCCTGCGTCCGTGTGTGACCTTTCCTGGCGTCCTGCTGGGCTGTGTGGGCTGTGGAGTGCTGAGCTCTCTTGTTGCGCTGTCTTGATTCTGCCAATGAAACTCTTGACCCTGGCTTCCAGATCTGCTTGCCGGGCGAGTCGAGCCTGTGTTTGCGCCAGGCTTTTCTC